GAAGGGGGTAAGAACGAACCGATCCTATGGATACCGCCTAATCAGAGAACTCAATTCGTATGCGATCCAGGGTTCTCCAACTCTTCGTTTCTACTGTTGGGCTCTGGCTATAGAGACCGTGTTACGAATTTCAAATGAATGTAGGGGGGGGGGGGGAGACCGACGGCATTTGCATTGAAAACAAACCGTAGTGCTGTCTGTATTCTCCGTTTTTGCGTTTCGTTTCACATCTTCTATGGATGTATCTCGTCGTGGTGCATGTCCTTTCTTCGATCGTAAATACCATATGAAGAGAGCTGCTAGAGAGACACCGCTCAGCGCAAGCAGCAATGTCCGCTGCGTGGCTGTCGATGACATACTGAAAAAAATGCAAATTGTCACAAAAACAATTCCAAACTGAATAAAAAACAACAAAGATTGCTCGAACAATGGAATATTACGATCTTGTTTCGAACTCAAGTTTTCAAATAGTTAGCACAATTATCGTTAAAGGTCACCCCAGAAAAACGCATCTGAACAAAAAATTTCGCAAAAGCGAACCACAAGGACATCGTAAGGCCGCGTTCATGACTTGCGGTATTGGAAGAATAGGAAAATAGCTGAGTTTGGAGAATTGTAGACAGAGCACGTAGGAGATCGTCGTAGAGCGACGTCGCACTTGTTCGTTCGTCGAAGGAATGGGGAGGGGGGAGCGGGCTGCATCTGCTTTCGAAGAAAACTGTTCTGCTCGACGGCAGTTTTTTTTTCTGTGCAAACCGAAGTTTTCCAGGAAAATTAATGAAGTGGTGAAAGTTGCGGAGAATTTAAGATGGTAGGCACGACGAGGATGAAGGGGAAGGGCGGGGGACTTCGTACCAGAGAAGGAGATTTCGGGGGAGCGTATTTTAGTAAGACCTTTTTTAGCAAGAAACAGGAAAACATCGTATCGAGGGTCGGAAAATCCGCAAAAAAGATTAGGTTTGTATCGAGGGGTCTTTCAATGTCCAGAAGTGCAGACTTAATCGATACGTACCAAATGTTTTAGGAGCCTTTTAGTTGTCCAATTTTCGAGTCCTCCAGGTGTTGTGTACACCCTTCTTCGCAGATTCCCCGATTCTGCTGATTTAGCAACTCATTCGTATTCACCTTTTATGCGAGTTTTCCATAGGCAAATTACACTTGAAGCTGAACCCGGCCAGAACTTCGGCAAAAAAGAAACCGTGCGATATTTGTACAGGTTGCAAGAAACTGTCAAGAACTTCCCCAGCGCGGAACCTAATGACAACTTAGAACAGAGCACTCTTTGTTTTGTCGAAAACACTGAATTAATGAAAATTCCCGGAAATGTGATTTGCTCAACAAGCTCATGATTCACCGTTTCCAATAGCGCTTCATTTTTTCCAATCATTAGAATCACTAAGTACTTTTCTATCCTTTCAAAAACATTAACTTCCAAATGATTAGGAAAAAAGTGACAGGAGTGTTGAATCGTGAACTTATTGAGCGAATGAAATATTTGAATTTCGACAATTCAACTGTTTAACGCTCTGTATGAAACGTCATTTCCTCTTACCCCCTACCAGTTAGGGAATAAAAAATATTAGGTTGTCGAGATAGAAATGAGACCTTTGTGACAATTTCCTTTTTCTCTCTTATTTCTACTGATTTACCCTGGAGGGTGATCATTCCCAGCCCGCTCGGTTGGAAATGGTCATTGGTTTTTTGTGGAGAATACATCACAAAATAATGTTGCTTTTTCTTAAATTATAATTTGCATGAGAAAAGGCAAAAGTCTCGTTCATATTTTGACAGCTTAATAAATAGCGTTTCGCTAAGAAATAAGAGTTCATCGATTCAAAACTATTCACGTTGGTTTAGCCTAGCATGAGATTATCAAGAGTACTATCGCCAATGCTAAGGAAAACCATTCCTCGATATGACTCCTCTCCTCGGGCAACTGCAAAAAGGGGAACAAGCAATAAATTTTCCACAAGGCCAAGTGCAACCCGTCGAAAATTCCTCTCTTGACCGTGGTGCAGAGTAATCAATCATGGCGCTGTTAAGCTTGGAGGGGTACCTTGCACATTCGTCAGATCCTTTGTTTTTCATGTTAACTAACAGGTTTCATTGTGGTCAGACCCGCTATTTCCTGTGAAACGGTGGAATTGTTCGTGTGATTTACTTTGTACGCAGGAATCAGGTTTCCTCAAGATGGCCTGCACAAGCTTAGCCGAGTATCATTCGGGCCCCACCAAGCCGAACTGCACAGTCATGCACTATGGTTAAAAACAGAAACATAATGTTGCAGAGCTTCATCTAGACTTATAAAAGCTATCCACTGAATAAGAGTATATAACGCGCAAAATAGCACGAGCTCGTGGTATTCTTAACGAATATCCAGTGGTTTAAAATATCCTGGCAGCTGCATCTCAGAGGATGCAAATGCTGGACACTTCAATCTGTTATTTCTAAGCAACTGACCAAGGAATAGCACCTGATTTTCTGCTCTCCAGGGTGAAATTACCAGCACTTAACGTGCAAGAGCCTAATATTTGCAAACTGTTCACGGCTCAGGATCAAAAACTCACGTAATCTCAAATGAGTGACTGCTGAAGAGTCGAACGTCGTTGAAGTATCAAAACTGCTTTGAAATTTCAGATACTTTCCAGTTTTTCGAGGAAAAATGGGGATTACACCAAGGTAATCCAGAAAGGTTTTTTGTCGATGTATACCTGGCAAAATAAAGAATGATAGGATGAAATTTCATCGTAATTAGGGTACATCAATGACCGAAACAAGCAATTTCAATGACAACACGCGAAAGGTTGCGGAATATCACGCAATGTTGTGCAATACACACTGATAGAAAGAAAGCAAACACATCCGTAGGAGATAGACGAGAAGAAAAACAAGATCAACTCAGTCATAATTAAGCCTTAACGAGATGCAGCATCATGCAGGCGGGCTCGACTTGAAATATTCTGTATGCTTTGCACGACAGAAACACATTTAGACCCTAATATTACAATACAATTTTATACCCTGCTTGAGTATTGCAAGTTCCAGCACCCCCATAGTGATCAGAATATTTTACGAGGAGGACAGACCCCAATATCTTTTTTTAAGCTCAGTAGATTTCAAGGTTCAGAAAGCGTTTTAAAATATTTTCCGGTGCACTTTGGCGACGGCGAGTGGGGGCATTTTGCACCTTCGCTAATTCCCGTGCTCGTGTCGAGCTATCAAATAACGATTTGTGAAATCTTGTGAAGCCATAAAGTGATGCCAATCAAGCTTTTTAGATACTACTCGTCAACTTTTGTACAGGATCCCTGTCAGCTCTCGTAAAGAAATGAACACGACAACGGAAAGCAGCGAAGTGCAATATCTCTCTCGCAAGCTGAACTGCGCCATATTTTTGTTTACTATAAAATTACCAAAGCAACAGAAATCGGCAGCAGCGCCTGAAGCAGGAGCTAGAAAACATTAGAAAGGTTCATCGCATCTTTCGAGTCTTCTGAGCTTTGTGGGACAAAGACTTTGATGACGATCTTTTCGGTTGCTGAAGAAGGACCATGTTTCGTTGTGGCTTTCCAAGCCAATTCTCCACCAGTTCTTGAGGCGAGTAAGTGACAACAAATGGTCAAAAACGACTGATACGAACAACATGATACAGACTTTGTCGCTTGCCGAAAGAAAGAAGAGATGAGAAAAGAGCTGGCGTCACGCCAAAATCATCCCTCACCTAAAACGGTTTATCATTTACAGCGGAAAAGACTGCAATTTGATCTATATAAATCACTCGAAACCCTACTTTTGAGCGAGTAATGACCGAGCAAGACCGCGTAGGCCAAGATCTCCGGACGTAAAATTTCTATTGGTCGCTGGATCTCATTCGCTCAATAACCACATGACTCGACATTTCAAAAAGTACCCTCATTGTCCCCAATCAATAAATTACTCGCTGCTTCCCTCCCTCCCCCCACCCCCGTAACAGTTATCGACAACGCCTTTTCTATTTTGAAAAGTACGTTTTAATGCTAAAGGACTCCTGCACAAAAACAATGCTCAGAGTGCTAGAACTTAAGCAGACAGGGCACATCGTTGTTGGGGAATCCCCAATAGGGGGGGTCGTATTTGGCCGCCAGGAGAGGGGGTCGTATTTGGGCTGGGAAAAATTTATTTTGATTTTTCTCGCTTCACGGACGTTGTAAAAGGGGGGGGGGGTCGTACTTGGTCATTGTTGGGAGGGGGGGAGGGTCGTATTTACGTTTTGGCGTTGTAGGAGTGGTGGTTGACTTTTGGTGATTTTCCTGTTTCACATGTACTATTTACCCCCCCCCCCTCCCCCCTCGACGGCTCGATTCGATGAGGAGGAACAGAGGGCCGGAGGGGGGGGGGGCTCGTCTTACAGACTCAACTGAAATCCCCAACCAATGATGTGCCCTGAATTAAGAAGGTATTAAGCCTTCGATGGACTCGAATACTTTCAGCATAAATCAGAAATGTTCGTAAAGTTGTTCCACTTGATGCACACGGAATGTAGTGACAAGATAGAAAATTGACCATTTCCCATTCCAAAATCTACAAAATGGATCCGATCAAGACTCCTGTTGTCAGAA